AAAAAAAAAAAAAAAAAAAAAAAAAACGCTTCCACATAATACAGCTTCTGTTTTGACTGAGCTTTATTTCACTTGTTTTTGCGCCCCCGTGATTTAGAAGCCTTCCCCTCCTCTGCTTCCCTCCCCTGCTTCCCTCCCCATATCTCATGGATTTTCACCGGAAAACCACTTTTGGGTCTGTCCGAAACCACTATTGCAGTCCGCCGATGGAGACAGGGAGATAGAAGGAAACGAAGAAAAAGGGGCAATTGCAATTGTTTCTTTTTTTTCTTGATGTGTTTACGCCTTTGCGGAGTTGTGAAATCCAATGGCTGTGAGTTTTGTTCTGTTTTTTGTTTCGGTTTTGGTATTGAGTGGGCGGGTGGTGTCGGAGCCTGTACAAGACAAGCAAGCGCTCCTTGATTTCATCCGTCCGTTGCCGCACGCGAAGAGGGTGCAATGGAACGCCTCTGTATCCGCCTGTGATTGGGTGGGGGTCATCTGTGACGCGAATCGCTCCTTTGTCTTCTCCGTCCGCCTCCCAGGTGTCGGGCTAGTGGGTACGATTCCTCCCAACACGCTGGGTCGACTCGGACAGCTCCGTGTGTTGAGTCTCCGTGCTAATCGTCTCTTCGGTGAGATCCCCTCCGATTTCTCAAACTTGACTCTTCTCCGCAGTCTTTATTTGCAGAGTAACAAATTTTCTGGTGGGTTTCCGGAGAGTGTCACTCGTTTACTTCGATTGAATCGGCTTGATCTCTCCTCCAACAATTTTCTCGGTCCTATCCCTTTTGCCGTCAACAATTTAACTCAATTGACTGGCCTTTTCTTGGAGAACAACAATTTCTCTGGCAATCTGCCGAGCATCAGCCTCGTTAATTTGCGCGATTTCAATGTTTCCAATAACAATATCAACGGTTCGATCCCAGACAGTCTGGCCAAATTCCCTCCCTCGGCATTCACTGGAAACCTAAATCTCTGCGGCCGTCCACTCCGGTCTTGCAATCCATTTTCCCCTTCCCCAGCTCCATCCCCTTCTCTAACCCCTCCACCGGCCACACGCGGAAAGAAGTCCCACAGGCTTTCAACCGGAGTCATTATAGCCATTGCAGTGGGCTCTGCAATTGTCGCTCTCCTATTACTGCTATTCCTCATTCTGTGTCTGAGAAGGCGGCGGCGGCAGCCATCGAAGCAGCAAAAACCACCAGTAGTGCCACGCGCGGTCGCAGCAGAGGAGGGCACCTCGTCTTCAAAGGACGACATCACGGGTGGGTCTGCTGCAGAGGCGGAGAGGAACAGACTGGTGTTCTTCCAAGGAGGGGTATACAGCTTCGATTTAGAGGATTTATTGAGGGCTTCAGCAGAAGTACTCGGAAAGGGCAGTGTCGGTACCTCCTACAAGGCGGTGCTGGAGGAAGGAACCTCGGTGGTCGTAAAGCGATTGAAAGATGTAGTAGTGACCAAGAGAGAGTTCGAGATGCATATGGAAATTCTGGGTAAGATTAATCATGAAAATGTAGTTCCTCTGAGGGCATATTACTATTCCAAAGATGAGAAGCTCCTGGTTTACGATTTCATGCGCGACGGCAGCCTGTCTGCTCTCCTACACGGTATGTTTTCCGGCGACTCTCTCCATTTTTACACATTACTCGTTTTTGCAATTCTAATTTCAAAATTCAAGATTTTTCTTCAAATCAAGAAAAATGGAATAAATATTGTTTATGGGAATTTCTTAAAGGAGAAATGCAATTGTTTAATCATAATTGATATAAAAAAGGGAACATTCCAGAATCTGGTGTAGCGGCTGTCTGTCTGTCTGTCTGTCTGTCTTATTTCCGTTTATGCTATCGTGGAACCACCGACGACATTAATTTCTGGGTAATGACATAACAGGTAGCAGGGGCTCCGGGCGGACGCCGTTGGATTGGGACAACCGGATGAGAATCGCACTCACCGTAGCCAGAGGCCTGGCGCACCTACACATCGCCGGAAAAGTGGTCCACGGGAACATCAAATCCTCCAACGTCCTGTTAAAACCCGACCACGGCGCCTGCATTTCCGACTTCGGGCTCAACCCGCTCTTCGGCAACACCACCCCACCCAACCGCGTCGCCGGCTACCGTGCTCCGGAAGTGTTGGAGACCCGGAAGGTGACATTTAAATCTGATGTGTACAGCTTTGGGGTACTGTTACTAGAGCTGTTAACCGGGAAAGCGCCCAATCAAGCGTCATTAGGTGAAGAAGGGATTGATCTTCCACGGTGGGTCCAGTCGGTAGTCCGTGAGGAATGGACGGCGGAGGTGTTCGACGTGGAGTTGATGAGGTATCACGACATAGAAGATGAGATGGTACAGCTATTGCAAATCGCCATGGCGTGTGTGTCCACCGTACCCGACCAAAGACCCGCCATGCAAGAGGTGGTTAGCATGATTGAGGGGATCAACAGAGGGGAGACTGACGAGGGACTACGGCAATCGTCTGATGATCCATCAAAAGGATCCGACGGTCATACTCCGCCCACTGAATCAAGGACCCCAGTCACGCCTTAGGAAAAAAAAGAAAGGGAAGTTATTTTACAATCCAAACTACATCGATCATGAAATATGAAATATGAATTATTAGATAAAGAGGAGAACTCTTAATATGAATGAGTTCAATTCATATCTAATAATTAATATTATATAATTTGATATAGTTTGGATTACACGAATTACTTTTTTTAATAGAAAAAAAAAAAAAGAAAGACAATGTGGTGAAATTTTTTATAATTTTTTTTATCTTTTGTTATTTTTTAAAAAATGTGGAATTATTTTGTTATAGGTGGAATGGGGGAGAATTTGGATTGTATTAGGAGGTGGGAATTGGAATTTGATCATTTGATGGATTTAGTTGTGTTTTTATGTCTAGCCATATCTTTCTTTCTACGAATTGTCTTTTTATTTTCGTTGTCTTCTACTATTGTTACGTGTAAATGTATTGAATTGGAGCCAATCGAGAGAGTTGAAAATTTCATCTTCAATTCCCACTTGTTTTGTTCTACAACCCACTTGTTTTGTTCTACAACCCACTTGTTTTGTTCTGCAAGTGGGATGCCAAACTGCTAGCTGCATTACATTTGTCACGAGGGAGCAAGAAGGTCGTATACCTGTTTGGGCAAATTCTAGTTTTTGTAGTCCTTTTTGTGTCTAAATTTCCCTCAACTGTTAAAAAGCTGAAAAAGAAATGTTATAGTAGTACTTATGGGGAAGCTTCCACCGTCTCACATTCCCACATTTCTGTTTTGTGAAAGTGTTGCTCCTAAGTAATAGCCTGTTATTTTGTAGTTTCACTTGTTTTATATCTAAAATTTGAATTATTATTAAATGAGAGGAGACTTATAATATTAAAGAATAAATGTTATGTAATCTGTACCATTTAGTTTCACAATACCTTTTTTTATATTATAAAAAAATATTTATTAGTTGAAATTGAAAATAATTTACAGTCATGAAAGTAGAGCTCATTGTATGGTAACATAGAGGTCTATGATAAGTGTAATGTAAGAACATCTTAGTAACTCTTTTTATAAATTAAATTAAGAATTTAAATTTGAAAAAATATTTTAAAAATTAATTTTTTAAAATATATCAAATTAATATGAGATAACTCTTTAAAATTATAAAGAAAGAAATTAGTTTCAATGTAAGTAAAAATGGATAAAAAATAAAAAAAACAAGAACAAAAGAAAGTGTAAATGTGTAATGTGAGTTCCATTGGAAGTGTAAATCACCTTATCCTGCTAGGTAAAAATTTATTTTTAATTTTTTATTTTAATAAATTTATAAATTTTAATCTCTTAATTTATATTATGATACTTATAACTCTTCATTTATATAAACTAAAAAAAAATCTTTTATTTTAATAAATTTATAAATTTTAATCTCTTAATTTATATTATGATACTTATAACTCTTCATTTATATAAACTAAAGAAAATAATCTTTATTTAATGTGAGGTTATAATATTCATCAACTAACTATTAACATTCCATTAATAGTCAATTAATTAACAGACCGTTAACGGTGATATGAATAGAGTTAACAGAATGTTAACAGTCAACTGATAAACGTTATAAATTGATACTAAGTAAGAATTTTTTTTTTAATTCATAAATATAAAAAATTATTTTTTTGATTTATTAAAGTAAGTAATTAAAAATATCTTAATAATATAAAATAAAAAATTAAAATTTATAAACTTATTAAAGTAAAAAATTAAAAATAAGTTTTTACCGTGTCAGCGAGGGTGAGGGGTTAGGGCTAGGATGGACGGCTTTATGCTGGACGAGCCCTTGCAATTGTCGAATTGAACCGTATTGTTGACGTGTGCAAGAATATTGTCGGCCGTTGATGCACGCGGTGCTAGTAAAGGGTCAGCCACGTGGACCGGATCCCAAGCAACCATGATAGCATGGTAGCAGCATTCACCCAGATAACTAGTGCACGTGATCCGTCGGAAAAAGCGCAATTTCGTGATTTGAGGCACCGAAAACGGCCGGTAGCGACCGCTTTTGGTCGGAGTCAACAGCTCTCTATGTACCCTTTGGCTCTGTTGGAGTCCCCGCCCACCCCCATCCCCATTCTTTTTTTCTTTGCTCTCTAATTTTGGTACTTTGACTTGATTCTTTTTTAGTAGTAATTAATAGTAATTAATCACGTCCAGTTAAGATTTATTTCGGATTAATTAAACAAATAAAAGCTGTTGATGCGCTGGGATGATGTGTTTTTAATCATGTTTACATTTTTAGGGTAGGTTTGTGAAACGCGCAATAAATGTTAAGAGT